AGCCCGCGGAGCCAGGCCGCTCGAGCACAGCCTGCAGGGTCGGTCGCCAGCGGAGCCCCCCTCGCCGTTTTGCCCGGGTGCGCGGACGCGGGCGCCTCCGGACCCATGGCGAGGAGCGACCCCGGGGAGGCGAGGCGACGATCCGCTTGTTCTGAAGGAGCCGCGGCCGCCCCCGCCCTAGCCGCCAGGGCTGCTTCCTAGAAGTCCCCACCACCACCCGCAGAGCTCCCGAGGCCGGGGAGTTCCTTCATGCCCCTTCTCGCCAAGCGCCTGCCCGCAGCAGGATCTGCCTTGTCGCCGGCGCCCTTCTGCGTGCGCGCTTTTCTCCCCGGCGGGGTGACTCTCCTCCTCCTCCTCTTCCTCCTCCTCCTCCTCTCCCCCTCCCCTTCTTCCCCGCATCGCGCTTGAAGATGCACTTGCAAAGGGCTCTGTTCCTCCTCTCCCTCCTGAGGCTGGCCGCTGTCAGCCTGTCGCTATCTTCCTGCACGACGCTGGACCTGGAGCACATCAAGAAGAAGCGAGTGGAGGCCATCCGGGGCCAGATCCTAAGCAAGTTGCGCCTCACGAGCCCTCCGGAGACTGTGGGGCCGAGCCACGTGCCCTTCCAGATCCTGGCTCTATACAACAGCACCCGGGAGCTCCTGGACGAGATGGAGGAGGAGAAGGAGGAGAGCTGCTCCCAGGACAACACAGAGTCCGAGTACTACGCCAAGGAGATCCATAAGTTTGACATGATCCAGGGCTCACCGGAGCACAGTAAGCCCTTGTTTTTGGAGGGCCAGTTACAGGCTACGGGGCAGGGGGGGAGGAGAGTTGAAGGGATGGTCTGGCTGTTGGGGTTCTTAGCAGAAAAGGTGAACAGCTGTAGAGAACAAAGGCTGACTTGAGTATTGTGCAGGCAGGAGAAGGGAGTAGAAAGGCTCAGAGGTGCCACAGGCTCTAAAGCAGGAAAGAAATGAAAGACATCTGAGTTTGGGACCGCCTGTATTTCCATTCTACAGCTGGGGCCCCTAATGTCCACTGGGGCTGGTGTGCCAGAGGATGGGGGTCAGCAAAAGTGGACCCAGTGACATTTAGTCAGCAATACAACCTCCTTGGCAAAGTTCAAGTGCTGCTCTCTTCCCCCTTGCTGGGGTTAGTTGAGCAGTGCCCGGTCTGCCTAAATGATGGGTCTGCCTAAATGATAGGACCACCCATTTTCCACATAGGGCATCTAAAGCAGGTAAATGTTGGTTACACTGAGGTTACCCAGGGAGGCCATTAAGGATCTCAGATCTGAACCCAGGTTATCAGCCCCAAGTTTTATTTCCTTGGATTGTATTGCTTCTTAGTACTTTGAGAGAGAGAGAGAGAGAGAGAGATTTTCACGTGGTCTTACATCAGGAGGAACTACATGTGCCTTGGCAACAGAGTTAACCTTTTTTTGAGGGGGGAAACATGGAACCTTCTCTGGCCAAGATGTTGGCAGCAGTTGTCCACTGCAGCACTAACTGCAGTGTTTTATGTGTAGCCGGTGTTTTTGCACGTGGATAGACTTCGATGCGCATCCTCAGTATTGTCAAGTGTTCACGAGATGCACCATTTGTTCCTGGAAAGATCTGTGCATGCACTCATGGATGCATGTCTAGTTCCCAAACAGTCAGGAAAGTACATTTGTGCAACCAGGGTGTGGGAAAAGAATCTGTGTGGGAGAATGAAGTTAATCTTATGGAAAAGCTACACAGGCAGACAGTTTTGGATTTCCTAATTGGCATGAATGTGTGTGTGGGGGGGGGAATAATCTTTGTACACTACTTTGTTCATAAGTATTCTTGATTTGGTCCCCCGCCCCCCCCGCCCCCAGCCAACGTATTTCCAAGCCAGGACTGGAATCTTGGCAAACCCCTGACAGTGCATGGGCAGGTTTTCCAATCATGTGGAGGCAGTGAGAGTCTGGCAAGAGGCAAGTTTCCCTTTGCTGCCATTAGGTGTCCTCGTGGGCTCTTGAATTTCACAGCAGGGCCTGTTGAGAGGGGTTGGGAAGAAGAATCTGTCCAAGTGGCGTTGAAGAGGATAGTGGATATAAAAACAGGAATGGATGGCAAGAATATCTTTCAGTGTCTTCACAGTATTTTGCAGATCAGAGTTTGGAAAGTGAGTGAGATTGCAGTCCCAGAAGGCTCCTGCCTAGCTTGCTCAGCGCCATGCTGGCTAGGGAATTATGGGAGTGGTAGTCCAAACAAATAACATTTCCCAGCTCCTGGAATGAGCATGGAGAAGCTGATCTCTGTGTGTGAAACGAAGGCACAATGGACTAGAGCTGAAGCGATTTAGTTTGCAGCCCTGTGGGCCTTTACTTGTAAGGAGGTCCTGTTGAACTACTTGGTCTTATCTGTTGGGTAAGTTTATGTAGGTCCAAGGCTATCAGGAGGTTAACTGGCTTGCAACTGCAAGTTACGAAAGCCAGGCTCTTCTCCCTGTAGAGCTGCTCCCTCCCAGCAGGTGGAGGAGCTGGAGCCTTGGCTAAAGGGCAAGCCAGGACTGGGCCAGCTTTCAGTGCCTTGGAATAACATCAACCCCCAAATCCAGCCAGTGAAAAGAAAGCCAAGCCAATGTCTAGAAACCTAAAGTGGGAGGGAAGAGGGGAGAGAGAAACAGGGAGAGAGCGAGCGAGTGGGAGAGACATCTTTCAGGACTGGGAGGAGGGAGTGCTTTTTGAGGCTGGGAAGCCAAAATTATTCTTGAAAAGCAGAGTACACGTATTAAAATGTACCATATGTGAGGGGCGGTCACCGCAAACCCTGGGCACAATTCCTTCTTCGTGGAACACCTAACACGCAGTTGGTGTGGTGAGGTGTGGAGACTGGGATTATGTTTTGCATGGGGTGGGGCGGTCATGCAGGGAGCAATGGACACCGTTAGCTGCCAGCGCAACCATCCCGCCCACATCGAACAGCAATTTTGGAGTCCTGAAGGAAAGGTTTGGTTGAACTTTAGCCGCACAGCTCCATTTGGTCCTTACCTCCACATTAATGTAGTAGGATAAATCTGTTCATGAAGAGCAGTGCTGCAGCCTGGTTGCTGTTCAGAACTGAAATTGTACTGAGATGACTTCCTAAGCAGGAAGCCATTGATATGAAGGAGCTTCCCGCTTGCAGTCTGGGTAATCTCAATCATGCCAGCACGGTCCTTCCCTCAACAAAGGGAAGGAGTGAAATAATGTGGTTGAAACTGAGGCTGGAAACCATTTTGTACCACACCTCTAAAATCCCCACTGCAGGAGTCTGGAAAGATAATGTTACAGAGATCTAATAATTCAATTAGTATGTGCTATGTTAATTCCAACTTACGGTGACCTTTTCCAGGTTTTTTTTTAAGTAGATAGTACTGAGAAGGGGTTTACCATTCCCTTCTTCTGGAGCACCCTGGTACTGTGCAGCTTGCCCAAGACTACAGAGAGAGATACAGGGGGAATCAAACTTTCAAACTCTGGCTTTGCTCTGTAACTCAGTAACTTCTTCAGACAGCTTCCAAGATCTAAACTACCAAATGTACGAAGATGAGCTGCTGTATGCAAATAGCCTTTCACATGAAAAAACAATGCCTATATATTTCTTTTCAAGAGATAACAGTGATATTGACATTGGGAAAAACTTCACAAAAATCACTTCTCTGGACTACCAGAATTCTGCACCGGAAGACCTGGCAGCTGGCAGATGATGGTAGCTGTAAACCAGAGAAGCAATTTTCCCAAGCTCTGGCTGATAAAACACAGGGAGGGAGCAGATAGTAAATGTGGAGCAGCTAGAGTGGCCAAATAGCCTCTCCATAATGCAGAGGGAGTGGTCTGTGAACTGATAGGTGAACCAGGCAGAGCAGAAAAAATACACTGCTGCAGATAAGCAAGAAAAAAAAGTAAAGCATGCTGCTTATATACTACCTCATAGCACTTAGAGCACTGTCCGGGTGGTTTACAAATTAATTATGCAGGCTACACCCGCTGGGTACTCATTTTACCGACCCTGGAAGGATAGAAGACTGAGTCAACCTGGGATTGAACTCTGAGTCATGAGCACAGTTTTGGCCAAGATAAGGGCAAGGAAGATGCTGAGGAGGCTTTGTGGGGTCCAAGGCACTGAAGATACAGATGCTGAGCAGATGTTGCACATCTGGTCTCCTCACACTGAGGAGTAGATACGTCGAGTCACACAGACTAAGCTGATAACAAATACTGTGGCCCAGGCAGACACTGAGTCACATCAGTGGGCATCAGTGTTTCTTAGTGGACATTGGCAAGAGACGACCATGACTCCAGATTGTTTCAGAAACTGGAAATGTTATTTTTGATCACTACAGCTCTCAGTGCTCCTCAGCATGGCCACTGTATGTTTTCAAGTATCTGAATAGTCATATGTATTGTTACACTTTCCTCAAGTCCTAAGCACCAAGAAATTCCAGTTGTGCAGCACTTAACTTTAACCACTGCGCCACAAGGCTCTTTACAAGAGGACAAGTGCTACTTGCTTGATTTCTTTGGAAAGGAGATCCTAAGAGGCTTATGGAGTTCTCTAATATTTGAGTTTATGTAATGTTCAAGATTTCACCCCCAGAAATATACATCAAGAACCGATAGAGACAAGCGGCATACACACTCCAGTAGCAAATTCTTCTGCCCCACATCCATTGTAATTGTCAACGTGAGGAAGCCAGCTCCCACACTCGAATGCTTCTTTAGCTTACAGACTCCAAAATGAAGCCAACTTTTTCAGTTGTTTTCTCACAGTGACCCAGAATATTTTGCTATCTGCAGTAGAGCAGCAAATGGCATATCTGCATATGGAGTCAAAATGCATAGCAGGAAGCCAGGCAAGTTATTTTGGCACAACAGATAAAAAGTCCTAGAAGTGCCTCTTCCTATCTGTAGCAGTAAAAATGCAACTGCAATACATTTAGCAACTCACAGTCTGATGCCAGTTTATGAACCCCTGTATCAGTCGTCTAATAGTAGAACCGTCTCTCTTGCATAGACTTCAGGTGAGTACAGGCTCTATTTTGTGTTTTACAGTGTAATGCCAAACACACATCTACAGAGCTTAGTGATCTTCCACACACGTCTGCTTCCGCTCACATATCTATTGTTCATTTCAGCTGCAGTATAACTAAGGAAGGAGTGAGTCATCTTGTTTCTGTTGCTAAATATTTGGAAGTCAGAAGAAGGGATGGGTCAGCATTTCATGTGGTTTCTGTTTAATTAGAACTTTGCAAACATTCCAGGTTTTTCTCCCAAATTGTGCCGAAATAACTTTGGATTTCAAGATTTTCAGTCTGGTGAAAGTTGGTAGTGAAGTTGATAGATTCACCCATCCAGGCACAGCACTGTAAGGGTACAGGTACCTGTGTCTTTTGATTTGCCATATACTGAACCACGGTTGTGCTGCTAAGTTATAGTGACCATATCTTTTTTTGCCAGCAGGCTTCTTCTCTTCAACAGCTACATAGCAAGTTTGGATTTCAAGATTTTCAGTCTGGTGAAAGTTGGTAGTGAAGTTGATAGATTCACCCATCCAGGCACAGCACTGTAAGGGTACAGGTACCTGTGTCTTTTGATTTGCCATATACTGAACCACGGTTGTGCTGCTAAGTTATAGTGACCATATCTTTTTTTGCCAGCAGGCTTCTTCTCTTCAACAGCTGCATAGCAAGCAAGTATAATGTGGTGCACTCCATAAAGGGAATGGCAGTAGTTCTTGGCTTTCTCAACTGCAGGTGGTTGAGCATATTGTTCAGTCATTTCTTACTTTCCCATATTTGCAATTTTCTTCATAAAGAACGTGAAAAGATTGGATTCAAATGATAATGGTGGGAGAAAGTAAAACCTTTGAAATTCTGTTGTTGTCCATGTAAGGTTTGTGTTACTTGCTAGAGCAAATAGACAAGGTGCTGAAGTGCATTTTGGTTGTGCAGTCAGGTGCATGACCATGCATGCAGCAGAGATGGGCAGCAGCACCTCATAAGTTAGATGCAGTTAGACACAGCAAGTTGTGCATGCCATGTGCAGACACTTTTAGGATTCTGGCTGATGAGAGACTCATCCATCCTTCTTCAGAAATCTTTGCAATTGTACTTCATCTGAGATCTACCAGTATTTGCAGGTTTACCCTTTGCCCACCCTGCTCCAGACAAGCTGGTAGAGAAACAAGTCATGAATATGGTATACTACATTTCCATGAATAACACAATTGAACAATTGGTGAAAGCAATGATGTGAACCAATATTGAGCTTACTAAAGGTACCATGGTAGAATGTGACATTGTGGTCCCAGTGCAACAACTGTTATTTGTGAAAACATTTGTTCTTTACATGATTAGTTTGATTTAAAGAACTTACTTAGAGGAAGTGAGAGATAACAAGAACCATTAACAAAGATTCTACATTTGGGAAGAAGGTCCATGTCCTTGCCCCTAGAGCCTCCTGGATACAGTTAGACTCCCTTTACATCAAGGGTAGGAAACCTCTTTGAGCCTGAGGATTGAATTCAGTTAACAAAGCAATTCTTGGGGGCCACATTCCAGTGGTGGGTGAGGCCAACGGCAAAAGGGTGGGACCCAAAATACCAACATATTTTAGCTTAAAGCTCTTACTCCTAGAAAAAGAGCCTTGGGGGAAAGGATTTCAGCCTTTAAGAACAGGAAGGACAGAAGATAAGATACAAAAGTTAATGTCACTACATGATAGTGGCCGGGACAAGGGGTATGGACTATTTGGGAACCCAAGAAGTGCTGGATTTTGGCTGCAAATCCTGAAAGTTCCCATTTCTGCTATAGATGAAAAGAGAGCTCCTATAAAAGAATCCAAATAGAAACCACCTACAAGGGCATAAGGTGGCCATGAGGCATGTACCACTCTTATATTGTTTTGGGTTGTTTGGATTCCATACCCCGGAATTCTCCATTCTAGAAGTTCCACCTACTAGACCCACGCCTTAATAATGCTCACCTGGAGAATGGCTTCATAGCCTAGAATAGACCAAGCTTGGGCCTAGTTGCCTGTTGAAAAAGGAAGTTACCTGATGAATCCCAGTTCTGTGCTAGCGTGAAGGAATTGTAATTGTAATCCATGGTATCTGGAGTTCACCAGTTGTGTGAGACTGGTGTTAACAAGGAGAGGCAAAGTTGTGGAATCCAGCATGTACTATTTAGGCATTTGGGGGGGGAGGACATTTGCTGAAATGGGAAGCAGTGCACCTGTGTTCACTGATGCATTTGGCTCATCATACAAAGGAGACCCTTGGTTAAAGCCAGGAATTAGCAACCGTAGGGCAAAAGATAAATATAAATGGTTTGTAGTCAGATATGGTAGTACATCTGGCACAAGGAAGAGGTGAGCCTGTTCAAAAGGAAAGGGCAGTATAAAAAAAGGTAAAGGTTCCCCTTGACATTTAGTCCTGTCGTGTCTGACTCTAGGGCATGGTGCTCATTCCCATTTCCAAGCTGTAGAGCCAGTGTTTGCCCATAGACAGTTTGCATGGTCACGTGGCCAGTGCGACTTAGACACAGAACTTTGTAACATTCCCACCGTGGTGGTCCCTATTTATCTACTTGCATTTTTACATGCTTTCAAACTGCTAGGTTGGCAGGAGCTGGGACAGCGACAGGAGCTCACTCCACCACGTGGATTTGAATTGTTGATCTTTCAACCTTGCAGCCCAGAGGCTTTTGCAGTTTAACCTGCAGCAGCACCACGTTCCAAAAGGGCAGTATGCTGAGGTGCAAAACAACAACAACAACAACAACAAGAAACACTAATGTGGAAGGTTCAATGGGACCTTAAAAGAGGTGCAAGGTGGGAACTTTGCCACCAGACAGAGCTGTGGTCTTCTGATCAGACATGGGATATTTGTATTCATATTCCTAGGGATACGAATATGACTATGGGCAACACAGGTGCCTTGGAAGTCCAGTTTCTCCCCTGACTCCCAAACCGGCAGATCCAATTACTGGTCACTGCATGGTCTGCGCAGTTGGCATTGTTCCCGTTACTCCAATTGCAGAAGTAACCCAGATGCCACCTCCCCACACGTGAGAACGTGGAATGAATCTCCCTGCTCAGCAGTTGAGCATTTGGCTGCACGAGGAAGCAGCGAAGCGCCGGCCAGGAATGATGTGGGTGCACACACTGCACAGCAACCAGTAATTGGGCCTGCCAGTTTTGGGGGGGGGGGAGACTGGACTTCCCAGGCACCTATGGTGCCAATATTCAGATATGAATATGAATATCCCATGTCTACTCCTGATACAATGGCTTTATGCCAGAACATCTTGGGCAAGTGATTGTTTGCCCAGTTGTTATTTGTGTGTATCTACACTGCAAAGACAGGAGTTGACTTTGTGAGCAAAAGTGTCATTTTGTTTAGCCCTGTGGGAACAAATTATTGATTCCCCCAGAGATGAAACTGAAATTAGATCACAATAGGAAATTTGGCAGTGGTGAAATCTGGGGATGCAGACTAGGTGAGGTTACAGACAGAAATCTGTTGTCTTCCTTCCATTTACTCAGCCCAGGCAATGGCTTTCGTCCTGAGTCTTCAAAGGTGGCTGATGTTCAGCTGTCTCATGGCTCTGTCTCTCTGCCAGGTGGTGATTCAGAATGAATTTAGAGCTAAAACTAGTCTCCTTCCCCCATGTCCAAGGAAAGGGGAAAGTCTTATTCCTCTGAGGTTTCGAGGGCTGATACAGACAAATCTGAACTACACAGGAAACAGTCCTGGCTCCAAACCCTCAACCAGATAGCTGAGAGTACTTGTCCTGTTCCAGGACTTCAGTCCAGCAGAGGAAGTGAGATAGGAGGAGGAGGAGGTGGTGGTGGTGAGCTTAGCTCTGATAGAAAAGCAAAGCAGATATTTTGGGAGCAGCCCCACATCCTTGTTCCAGATGATGAGAGGAAACTCCCCCGCAACAGGCCACAAACTCTGCCTTCCTAACTTTTCCCCTCTAGGAGGACAGTAATGCATGGCAAAGGAAGAGCTTGGTGGCTGCTGTCCACGTTACACCTCAGCATGGCAGGCTTCCCAGAGGGGTGAGCCCTTTTGTCAAAAGCAGCAAAAAAGCACAATTTCTTTGTGTCTCCAGGGAAACAGCCAGGGTGTGTGAGTGGAAGAGTGGACTCACTGAACTGGAGACCAAAGGACCCCACCCAGCCCTCTCCTAGTGGTCTCTGTTTAAGAATATGAGTATGACACCTAGGCTGGCCAGGACTCTAAGGGGGTGAAAAAAGAAACTAAGGTGACTCCACAACGTAAGAAGAGAGAGGGAGAAAAGAAGTAACACAGAGATCTGTGGTGAGCATTCAGAATGAAGAAAGATGAACAGCTACTTGGGGTAGAAATATACAGCACCCAGCTTCCTTGTTCTCACTAAAGTCATGCAATATCCTGCTGCAGAGCTGGACAGCTCTGGTGGATCCTGGTGCCACAGGAATCCTATTTTCCACCCACGGAGGATCCATCCCTTTTTAGAAAATGGGAAGTAATTAAAATGATCATGTAGCATTTTTAAAAATGATATCTTGGGCCCATAAAACGTGTTTTTCTCCATAATATTAGATGAGGGGAAAAATCACACTCCTGGAGATATTCTTGAAACCTGGAGGATTTCTTTAAATGGTTTCCCTGAACTCTGTGAGGAAAGGTTGGATATCCATTTAAAAAAAATTAAAAATTTGTTGGAGTCATAGCATTTCAGCTGTGGTGTCTCATAGAATTGTGTCTTCCTCATGCTCTCTAGTGTCTTTCTAAAGCTGCTTGTTGACATCATCTAAGGGTAGGCAGTGAAGTCAACTCTTGGAAAAGTTACTTTCTGAGATTTCAGCTCCCAGAATCCTCCAGCCAGCATGAAATGTTATGATGTTTCCTAGCTCTGAGTGAGGTGTTATCAGTGTGTTGACAACATTTGTTTCTCTTTGCATTTTAAATCAGGTGAAAGAGAGGTGGTGTCGGTCTAAGGAATGGATTGGATGAGGGTCAGTATGTTGAAGCTGAACCCTGATAAGGAGAGGCACTCGAGGGAAGTGATCTCTTGGCTCTGAAAACTATGGCTCAAGTTGTTCTCTCCTGTATGGGGGTGTCCTTCCCCAAAGGAGTGTTTCATTGTTTGATGGTACTAAAAACTTCACTGGTTTACCAGTTTTGGTTGTGCTCTTAAACCTGACAGAAATACTCTTGGCTACAGTGATCTATGCCCTACTATCACTTTATTCTGGCATAACATTACTGCAGTCATGGAAATATGGCTTTGTGAACTCCCCATTTGCTGAGGTAAATAAATGCATAAAGTGTGAAAAGGGGATGTGGAAAAAAGAATCCAAGATCTTCTCAACCTACCTGCAGTTCATACATTCTCTTCAATGCCTCAAATGGGATGTGCCACCCTAGCTAGTCTGTGATCCTGGTTTCTCCATTTTTCTCTTTAGATGACTTGACTTTCTGCCCCAAAGGTGTAACTTCCTACTTGTTCCGCTTCAATGTCTCTTCGGCAGAGAAGAATAGTACCAACCTCTTCCGGGCGGAATTTCGGATTCTGCGAGTGCCAAATCCCAGTTCCAAAAGGACCGAACAACGTATTGAACTCTTCCAGGTGAGAAAACTTCAGGGGTGGAAAAGTAGAGGAGGTTTGGTCCTGAGACCAGGTTCTCTTATACAGGTTCTAAGATAGTGCTTCCCAATCTTGGGACCCCATTAGTTCTTGGACTACAGAAATCCTGGCCAGCACAGTTAGTGGTGAAGCCTTCTGCAGGTTTTAGTCCAAGCACATCTGGGAACCTCTGTTCTCAGGGATGGTTTTTACTTGTTCCATTTTCCTTTCTGCAGCATAAATGCTAACTAATCACCACACTTAATTTTTAAAATTAAATAAAAAATTTTTTTCTTGGGGGTCCTTCTATAGAAGGTTTTAGAGCAGAGGTGGGTGTTGTGACCTGTAGACTATACGAGACTCCCCCAGATCTGCCCATGACCTCTCAGCCAAAAATATATGTGTATCTGTGTGTGTGAGGGAGAGGCAGAGAGGAGGAGTCATTTTCTTTTGTCCCCTGAAGCAGCATGTTTGACATAAAGTAGTGTGCTGGACTTCAAGAACCCCAACAATAAAATTCCATAAACGAGAAATAGAATTCTGGAAGCTGAGGTTTTTGAGGTTTGTTTGTTTGTTTGTTTTAAATTTAGGTTCTTAGGTAGCCCATAATGGGTCCTGGGGGTGTGTGAAAATTGACTTCTAGATCAGCTGAAGTTGTCTGCCTGTGTTCCAAAGGC